AAACTGTGAAAGCAATTCAGAGAAGTGAAGTCGCTGGAGTGAGCACACCAGAGATTCATCTGGATGATCACATATCTTGCTACAGGTATCACCAACCTATCTTTAGCCACCTTCTGGAAAGACAGTTCATTGATACCAGCTAGGTCAGCACAGGAATTTGTTTGATGTGCTTAAGAGACTGGTAACAATACCTCCTAACGTGACTGCGTTGCGAGGTGACAGTGTTTCCTTGGAGACAGTGAATCCATACAACCCCAGCCAGGATCCTTGCAGGTTACCTCTCTTCAGAGGATGTAGAACTACCTCTCTATGCAGGGGCAAAGGTGGGAAGATAAGCTTTGACTGTAGACAAATAGCCTTATGCAAGATGTGAGGATTTTATGCAACAGCAAGACATGTCTGAAAGGTAGGAGGATGAAAGAAGAGAAGCAACTGTAGTCATTGCACAGCTGGCTTGACTTGCTTCGACAACAGAGATAGTGTTACAGGATTGAGTATCTGTTTAAAATGTACCAACCTGTATTGCTGTTGGAGATTGTTGTGCAGTGAAAACAGGAAGAAAAATGGGATTTTTCTTGGTGTCATTGGCTGATTACTGAAAGACAAAAGGTGTCTCAACAAAATGTATAATTTGTTGTAAAAATGTCTGAAAGGCACATTGATTGAGATACGGAATTTGTATGGTTGCAAGTTAGATCCATGAAGAGCTGCATGGAATGTTAGCTAATATGCTAGGAATGTATAATTATGGTGATAAGACCTAATTATGTTAATTATGTCTTTTTGGGGGGCAATTTTATGATGCATAAAGCAAGATAATTGATGATACAGCTAACAGCAAGAATGCATTGTAACCATAACTTACAGGTGTGTTTGTCACTAAATTATGCTCAAAATAACTGCTTCAAAATGTTGCGTAATGTCTCATAAAACTCCTATAAAAAATAATTGAAAGGTAATAGAGCATGGAAACACTATGTCCCAGTCCTCTACTATTCTAAGTTCAGAGAGTTCTCATAGTAAATGTTTGCATACAAGTAACAGCTGCTACATAGCAGTAAATTGTGTGCATTTTAAACAAAGCACAGGCTGAATTCTGACTTTGCTGTCTTTTAAATACCTATACAAATTACATTTGTAAGTTGACCCTGCAGTTCATTTATGTTTATCCGCCTTGGCATGTGCAATTGACTGAGACAACGTAAATAACTGGGTGTTTGTATCATGCAAGCAAACAGCTATTTGTGCAAGTGGTTTGGACAGATCCATAACATGCTCTCTTAGAGTCTATACAAAATCAGCAGCTCTGACCTAGATATAAGAACTCTTCACATTGGGAGGATTTATCGCCCTTTTTTTAGTTTATTTGTGGTTTTTTTTTTTTCTTTTTTTTTAAAGATGATCATAAAATACATTAGATTTGGTTCCTTTAGAATGGTCCATGTTTTTCAATTCCATAGTAGCAGGACCGAAGGAGCTTGGAGCACTTTGCTGTTAAATAGCAATGTGACCAGACTTCCACTGAGATCAACTGCACAGGAGCACGGGCCTTTCCACCATATATGTTCTGCGGTGTGAAGCTGTAGCTGTAGGAATTCTAACTCTGACTATGTGAAGAGGTAGTATAAATAGCCCTACTACTTGTTCCCAAATCTTTTATCAAGGGCATTTCAGATCTACGGGGAAAGCAGCCATGGTTCAGTGAAAGCTAAGCCTGCTCAAGGCTGCTGATTCATGAAAAGTAGCTGGGGGTAAGACTACTGGAAGCTAGACCAGACCCCAAAACTGCTCAAAACACTGGGACAAAAGCCTTTCAAATCCCAATTGCAAGAATTTGCTTATAACCTTCTTTATCCTTACTCCTCTTCCACTGAGCTTTCCATTTGCCATTTTCCATGAGGCAAAGCTGAACCTGTGCTGTGGAGTCTAAAATGTTTGTTTATTGAGGCTGCCAGTTATATCAGGAGGAAGGAGTCTTTTGACTGACAGTCTTTTCTTAATAGCTAAATAGCTAAAATAATACACAGGAGAAATGTTTTTCACCCAGAATATCTTTCACTGGTGTAGTTTCAGAAGTAGCTCAGCTATAGCTCTTCAAAGTATTTAACAGGCTTTTAATATATTCTACCCTTAAAGTCAGCTGGACTCAAATGTACTTGCACTGCAGTTAGAAAATTTACAGCATTTTGTTGCCTATGAAAATTTTGCCAAGATGCAAGTGGGAGGAGAAGCAGACCCATTTCACGGACACGCGACTGACACTGACATCTTGATAATGTGTGACTTTTAACAGTGAACTCTATAGGAGTGCATGATTTTTCAAGATATGGCCTGATACCTCATAAATCGTGTTTTGAAAAATGCAGTAGCTGTCCTGTACTCATTCCTTCCAGTTTACAAAATATTTCAGCCACTTAATTCTCCACTGGGACTTCCACTGAGGAAAAAGCATAAAATATATTGGGTTAGTCATGAGTACTTTCACTTACACCCACAGCCCATGCTACCTCTTATTCAACTCATATGCCGCACTCTCGATTTCAAGGTGCTAGCAAAGAATTGCTTTGTACAATTTGTTTGTTTGTTTGTTTAATTATTTAGATGAAATGGCTATTTTATATATTTCAATGATGCTACACGGAACAGAAGGATTTCCCTGAGGTTTTTTTTGAAGTGATCAGAAGTCCTGCTATTTCAAAGCACCCTTTAGGCACTTCAAGTGGGATCTTCCTCATCAAACTTCAGATGCCTTGAAGTTGTGTCCACTCTCAGGAAAGCCTGTGGGCTCCTCATGTAGACAGTGTGGACTGTGGTTCACTCCAGCTGAAAATAATAGGCCTCGAGGCTGGGTTGAGTAAGTGGGTACCTGGACATACCCACTTGTCTCCACTGACTGTAGAGGGAGCCAAGAAAATTTGCTAAGCCTGGCTCTGCAGGCTGGCAACTCCAGCTAGGTGGGAGAAATAATACTTTAACCAGATGGAGTTTTTAGATGTTTAATGATGACTTGAGTATTCTGAAATTTTGTACATGGATTTGTTATCAGTGGCAAAGCTGTAGCCATGGTACGAACAACTAGACTGAGGGCCAGCCTCAGAAATTAGAAGTTGGTCACACACAAGATTTTTTCCACCTTACCGTTTTAAGTTTCCTTTCCAATCCTCTCTTATAGGATTCTTAAAATATAGTGAAATACCTCTGCTTAAAAGACATCGTAGATACCCCCCCACCCCAAGAAGAGAGAGAATAGAGGAAAGCTATTGCCACAGAGGGTTTCCATTAGTGAAATTAATTCCTCTCTCATAAGAATTTAGGTCTATGATTTATGATAACCGCCAATTTCTCACTGCAGGCAAAGTGAGAGGAAATGACTCAGCCTGGACAGACATCATGAATCTAATTTTTTTCCCCCTAATGCTTGACATAATCTAGTGTGCTGCTCCCAGAGGTGTCATTGGAGATTCATATCCAGCCGAAGGGCCTCACAATCAAGGCAGAAAATTTTGTTACTTTCATGTATTGTGTGATCTGTAATTGTTTGGAATTGCATCCTGCCTCATTCATTGCCATTTCTTTTGCATCAATTTTGCAGCAAAATAGTAAGGAAAACAAAGCAAGGGAAAGAAAAGCAACGTTGCACTTGCTCCTTCAGAAAAATCTTCTTTGACATAATGTAAGGGTCCAGCTGGTGCTTATTAAACTCGGGCAGTTTTGAGATGAAAAATGCTTCCTTCTGTCACT